TAGCTGCGAGAGGTACAGCGATCCACAGTGACAGTCTGCTTTCTCATTTAAGCATCTCCCAACTTTTTATTTATTTTAGCTCGTGCTGTATTTTCTGATAGTTAGTCTGCTGGCGATCCTGACGTTCGTTTCGTTACCTGTGAAGATCAAGACTTCAATAGCTTTTCCGAAAGAAGCACTTGCTAAAACTGCAACCGTCCAGGGAAGTTCTCGATGTGTGTTGAGCACCGTTCCGAACACTGCCAAAACTCGTGTGTGAAAATAACTCAACGGAAAGACGATAATAACATTTTAATACGTATGAATTTAAGAAAAGAAAAAGCATATACCGCCATTATCAACTTCTCTCTGACAGTCGGTGTGGGAATCCAATTTTACTAATGTTTCTGGAATGCGCTCAGATTCTCCAGGCGTAGCTATTCCAAACTGCGAGTTTCCCGCCAGCATCCCTCCACCTACATCACGTACGGAGTATCATATCTTGAAAGTATAATTCAATAAATATATCAAAATCATAAAAAAGGCCAATTTTGAGGATGCATTTGGTTTTGAGAAAGCTGGTAGCAGAAAGGATCGACGAGCGGGAGTCGCATCTGATGATGAATCTCTGACAGCTGGAGTGTATAATTGAGCAAAAAACAATATTCCTTCGCATTCCCAGTTGGTCAGGATCTATGGGCACAAAACGAAAAGCGATCTCTGGCCGTTGTCGCCTTTCTTCTCCGAGAACTCACTACTGCATGCATTTTTTCAAATCTTATTATTTCTTAAAAAAAAAAAAAAAGGAAAACAGCGCTTACAGAACAAATAAGTTTGCTATTTTTGGCAAAGAAGTTGCTGGTGGCAGGGGCAGCATTCGCTATTTATACGGCCAATACTGGCACCATTCACTGGAGAACTCATCATTATGCACAATCAGATAAATAAGCATTTTTGGATGAGGCTCATAAAGAAAAATTATGAATTGCATTGATGACGACGTCCTGTAGGGCAAATGAACAACAGAGCAATTATATTGATGATGTGCCCTCTCTTTCAAAACAAAATAGTTCCATTTCAACGCCTACTAGAACACATTACGGTATTTTAAGTTTAGATGTTTTGTGGTTTACGAAAAAGGGTTATAAAAAGTAAAAAATAAAATGATTCCATGTGAATGCTTGTGTATTTGCACAGAAACGTGTATGTTTGCATGTATCTGTGTATGTGTGTGTATGTGTGTGTGTGTGTGTGTGTGTGTGTGTGGATGAATGTGGGCGTCCCAACAGATCAGTGTTTGAAATTTTGGGAAATCCTTTGCAGAATGGGTACTGTAACTCTGTGGTCAACTTCGAGGTTTGTTTCAGTCGAAAGGGATAACTTGCATGCAAATTCCAGCGCAGTGTTCTTAGTCAACAACGATGAAAACTACCAAGTACCCCACTAGAAAGCCCAGTCCCCTGCATACCTCCACGTCGCAAGCAATCCCCAGCACTTATGTAATTTTGCATACTGTAAAAAAATTTGTATACTGTAGCAAAGAATGGCCATGCCGCATATCCCCCGCCATTGCTAAAACTCGGCTGAGGTTGATGCTACGAATCCCGAAAACTGGTGTCAGTGGTGGGGAACTTTACCCCGAAAGTTGGGTAGTGTGGATTAAGGAAGTGTGGTTAGTGAGAGGGCGGGGGAAGAGGTGAGGGTTTTGACTGCAGGGACCCGCGACAGAGGAAGGGCTGGGGTAAGCTACAGCGAAAATCCGGTACCCTAAGTGCTGAATACCGTAAATTTGGGAAGATTGTGTGGTGGAAAAGCGGTGTGGTGCGAATTTGCGATGCAGAGGCTCAGGACGAGGAGAGCTTGAGTTCGACAACTATTAAACTCGCCTGGGCCGCGCAGTATGCATTCGTTTGTGGATTTAGTGGCTGGGTATCGTGAATTTGGGGGATGGCGGATAAAAATTTCGGGAAGGGGAGGGAGGTGCTGATTTGGGCTGCGCAAACTTCTGGCAGAGGAAAAGCTAGGATGTAGTTGGTTGAACAGTGCAGTTATGGGGGGCTGTAGAGGAATGAGTATTGCTCTGGAGGGAAGAATTGAAATACGGCAGTGAAAAGCAATGATGACACAAGTCAGGAGCTCGGAGGCAGGAAATAGGGGTAACAATGGAGAGGAAACACAGCACAACAAAGGAAGGTAAATTAAGGCAAATTTGGATATACGAAAAAAAAAAAAGCAACGAAAAAGCAAAAGCAAGAAAATCTGGATTCATCAATAAAGTGAAAAAAAAAAAAGCAACGGCAAAAAAGAAAATCTGAGCACATGTGAACAAAAACTGCTCTATAAAAATCCACTGTTGGTAGGGGACTTCCCTATTTATAACGCTCATGTTTAGGTGAAACTGAGAACAAATAAGTTCGATTGAATTTACACAAAAGTTCCACACAATAATTCCGGTGTATTGTCTTCGGCGATAAAAAAGGACGCTAAATCTAAATCAGTAAGCCTATGCATACTAGCTTTCACTCAGTATCAAATTCCTTGTTCAGCACAATGAATTCATAAGTATGTACCGTAAGATTCAATTAATATCGTAAGATCCTATTAAGATTCAATTAAATTCATAAGATTCAATTAATCGATAGAAAACATAACGATGTTGCTGGCAACAAAACCACGTTGCAATGATTGTATCACGAAGAACAATCATGCAATAGTAAAAGAACTGTACAGCCTAAGACACACTTTCGAAGCATTTCGAAATTAAAGAAAACCAGTACACTCGCTTTTTTCCCTTTGCTGATTTCTTCAAGCATTGACATCCTCGTACACAGGTATTCCAGTGTTAGTAGTGGTATCCAATCGAACTTATTCATTATCAGCTTTACCTAAGCATCAGCTTCATAAATAGGGAAATGCCCTGTTGACGACGGCTTTTATAGGATAATTCCAATCCGCATAAGTTTATATTTGCTTTTTATTCATCGTTAGTTTACTTTCCTTTGTAATACTGTGATGCTCTCTTTTCTCCAGTCACCAGTTCCTGCCTCCGAGTTCCTGGCTTGTATCTTCTTTTCCCTTTACTTCCTGCCTCCAAAATAACACTCGCTCCTCTTTAGCTTTCGTAACTGCACTGTTCAAGCAACCAGTACTTCAGCCCTTCCTTTTCCCCCAAAGCCAAGACTCCGCTATGTTCATCATCCCACCCACAAATTAAGTGCCGTACTGCTACAAATCATCATTCCTCGTTAAATTATCAATTTTTATAATCACAGAAACGCTATGCAACAAAAAACAGCCGAATGGGCATGGTATTACAAAATCAAATGGCTTCCTCCTCAAACAATTAAGAATCAGTTACTGTGTAAAATATAGCTTTTGTTGAGTGTCCCACTGTTCTTTGCTCAATTTCTCGATGCTCTGTTTTAAAACTAGCCCTAGACTGGCAGTTTTTAAAAATAAACGCCTTTCAAAGCAATTTCAAGCCAATACGTGCAATTTGCCTTTGACCTACTTAAAGTTTCTTCGTAATAATAACTTTTAGCTAACAAATTTGCTAGCGCTCAACATTGTTTCCTTGGGTAGGTCGCTGAAAAACACGTCAGAAACAAAGTTAACATTCTAGGAGACAATTTTTCGAAAAAATACAATGCGTGGCTCATCCGATGTCAAAGCAAAACAGTATTTCTTAGTAAAATATCACAATCGTAACACTTCTAGTATTAAAAATTCCCTCAAAGTTTGGTTGTACGTTTGTTGAATAAAACAAAAAATCCACCGCTATTACATCCATATACACACATTATACTTACGAAATCCTTTCGAGTAAAACACAATCCTGCTTACTGCTAACTACAACATTAAGATTGAATGGGTCAAACCTAAAAATACATTAAAATCAAATTCTTTAACTTGTCCAGAACATGTTCGTAGCGTTACATTACTCGAACAAAAATAGAAAAAAACTATGAAACAGATTTTTAAGTCATCAGCAGAACTGCGACCAGTGCTGAATGATCTATCGAAATCGACATCCTGGTCCTTCTAGCGACGAGAATGCGAGCTTCTACCATGGCGAGAACTGAAATCTTTTACCAAAATAACGTAATTGTCATAATTATTTCTGCGATTTTCCAAGATGACACCATAGAACTACGGAAAAGCTGAAATCGAGATATATTCTAGTTGCCCACAACACACAACAAAGACTACTGGTGGGGTGTTGTATCATTCGTGGCAATAAATTCATCGATTCTTACACTTTTTAGAAAAGATTTTTGCCTTTATTATTATTGCATTTGAAGAGCAACTTCCAGCAAGTTATCCCAAAAATATTTTTGAAAAAAAGTGATATATGTTTCTCAAAACAAAATTTTTACCTCTCCTTACTGCGATGGTTGTGGTGGTGGTGTTTGTGCCGCGAAGGAGAACGACTTCTGTGTTTCGATTTGGACGTCGTTTCTGATTTCGATTTCGAGTGGTTTCGCGTTTTCTCGTTTTCAGAACTGTTCACCGTGCGCTTTTCTTCTCGATTTCCTTCAAAAGTCGGCCTCCAGTCCTTTTCTTTTTTTTCCAGATTGTGATTTATGTCACCGGAAATAGTTGATGTAGACGGGCCCTCTGAATCGGCTGGAAAAAAAAGAAAATTTCAAACTTGAGAAAGTTTAATATGCTCCTTTTTTTAAATAATACAGTGAGACTTCCTGTTTGCAAAAACTGCCATTTATGAGAACAATCGTTTCAAAAGCTCCATAAAAATCCCTACCCAATTTTGCGTCTGCACACAAATACGTGATATTCCGTTGCCATAGACAAAACCAGTAATGTGTTTCCTCGAAAGAATTCCTCCTTTTTTCCCAGCCTCCCCCCTCCCCAAAAAAAAAAAAAAAGATCAGTATTGGAGAGGAAACAATGGGTATGACAATACGCGTTTTGTGCTGCTGTTACACAGAGCAAAAAGCATAAAAATTAAGAAAAAGGGACAATCAACTACAGTTAAACACAAAACATTTGAAACACCAAAGCTAACTGCTCGTATGTTTTCGGTGTTTCTTTTTCTTCTCGTTCTTTGAATCCTTCTTAGCCTTGCTTTCTTTCCTTTTCTTCTTCTCCGATTTCGAATTCTTTTTGATTTTTCCTTCTTTCAACTCTTTTTTCGATTTCTTGTGACGTTTACCACCTGTTCCTGACAGCAATTTCCTGAAAAAGTGCTCATTCCGTATGTCACTCGGTAAATATATGTAAAAAAAACAGAAATAAAAAAACCAGAAATTACTTCATCAATTTTCGTTGTTCCTTTTCGCTGAGAGTGCTTAGAAATGCGCGCATTTTCTCCTGCTCCGAATCCAAACCCATATTCTGCAAAAATTTAGGGTTAATTTTACTTTATTTTTTTTTTTTAATTTCAGTTTCACTTTATGTACATTACTTAAGAAAGTAATACGGATCGGCCAAAAGTCCGCTTCCCATTCCGCTCTTTTTAAAAAGTGGGAGCAGGCGGAAGGTTCCAGGACAATAATACGCTCCCATAACCAGTCAAGTTCCAAAACAGCTGAAGATGCTCTCTTGTTCGCAAAACTGCTATGGAAACAAACTGAAAACCGGTTTGTCAGTACTACTTCATTACTTTAAAAACTACCGAACTACAGAGTAATTTCTGGTGGGACCGATTTCAAATTTTTTTCAAAATTTTCTAATAAACGAATAAATTTCAAAAATTTTTATTCTTTAAAACGGTCAGTTTTCAAATGGTAAGCTAACAACTCACAATGATGCTTTCCTCGGCTCGCATATTTTGAAAGACTGTTTTTTTGAGAGCCAATCCGTGCTCTTCTTTCATATTTTCGGCCAACTGATCGTAAGATATGTCTTGCATACTGTCTTCTTCCTCATCATTCTTCGTTGTTCGCGCTCTGAGAGCTCCTTTTGCCGTCGATTTTTTGAGCTCTTTACCTTCGGCACGGCTTTTCTGCAGTTCTTTGTACAAATCGGATGGGTTGTTTGCATCTGAAAATAATATATGAAAATTCCTGACGTAAAATTGCATTCGGCAGTAAGTCTGCTTCTGAACAACTCTCAAAAGAGGCTGAGCGTCAATAGTATTGCTAGTGCGTCGTTGCTCTCGACACTTCTTACACCCAAGCTACTTTTTATTACCTTCGTCTCTCAAAGAGGCTGAATACAGAAGAATACAGGGGTGGGGACGGAGGGAAGGAGACGAGGGAGGGAGCGGAGGAGGAGGGGTTGGGGGGGGGGGGGGGGGGGGGGGGGGGGGGGGG